TAATATTTCCAACTGTTACAGCCTTTATAAGTGTGATTTTATATACACAGAATATATATTAGATGGATATTATGAGTTAAAGCATCTAATGTTTTCCTTGCTTGTTTCTTCCTCGCTTCAAGTTTGGAGTAAGAACTTTATGTCTCATGAACTATTGTTTCTTTCTTTTTTGATCTTGCCTTAACAGTGTTTAATTCCAATTCTCATAGTAGTTATTTCTGCCATTCTAAGTTAATAGTAGAGGTATTCTCAAAGCCATGTTTTTGTAACATAACAAACAGCATCTTAGTGTATTGTTATATTTTCCTGAGAGTAACTCTTTATTACATGAGAAATCTAAACTTCTATCTGTAATCTTCATCTTTATAATTTTAGAGTTTTAAGGGAAGTTTAGTTTAGGTTTATGGAATAATACATGAACTATGTCTAGAATATCACTATTCTGAGGGGAGAAAAATTACTATGAAGGGGTTTATCAGTATATTGCAATAAAGAATTCATTTGTTATAAGTTGTTTAAATTTAGAGATTATAAGACTAAGCCGAGAACACCTGTCAAACAAGAGGTGGTATGCTGAAACTTCACTTTCTCCAGCAGAGGTTTGGTGTTACTGCATACTGTCACCAAAACGGCGTCTGAGTTAAACTGAAAGGCCATTATCCTTCACACTAAATTATAAACTTCACTCAGTACTTGATACTTGAAGTTTAAGGATCTCAAGTTAAGTCTTTAGCAGTGGCATATATAGATTGTGAACCGACTCCTAGAAGGAGTTGAACCTGCCTTGCAGTGTTTTCTGAACAGGGCTATTGCTATTAAGCCAAATGCTTGATCCTATTCTGGTTGTTCCCCTGGAGGTCTCAGCAACTGGGCCAGGCCTGTCTGTGTACACAGGTGCGCCTCTCTCTTTCCCTTCCCTTTCTGAGAGGCTACCATTTGTCTGGATCCTCTCTTCCTTTTGTTGCTCTCTTTATTCATTTCAGAAGTGTATTCTGCCAGTTACTTGCTTCTAACTAGACGTGCCACTCATGAATTTTTGGAATGTCAGATTATTACAGGGATGAAAAGTATTATACATGTTAGAGTAGGAGTCTTAGTTATTCCTCTTAGAAAATGGATTCCTTTATGAAAGTTTTCATGCTAAATTTTAAACAGTTCTATAAAACTAATTCGTAGAAAGTATCATGCTACTGTTACAACAGGTATCTCATTAACTTTGTCCTATATATGAAGAAGAAAAGTGTGACATTTTATTGAGCAGTTTAGTGAAAATGAGTTCAGTCTGTTACTTAGTCTTTAAGATTCTCATGAAATAGTTAACTTTAATCTCAAAGGTTCAGATTTGTAATTTCATCAGGCCATTTCACATTTTGCTTTTGAATAATATCTTAAATCATATTTTTATAAGATCTTTTTTTCACTCAAAAGTTAAAATGTACTTTTTATAAAAGAAATCAGACTACTAGGCATATATAGTGGACCTGATTTTTAAATATAATTCTACAGCTTTTAAAAATTTTCACACTTGCCTTAATTTGAATGAGAAAGTCTATCCAACAGTTTTTAAAGTGTTGTTAATTTGATTATTTTGTGGTATCAACTTGGCATTTTTAATACAAATTCTGTATTTCCTCCCATTTGTCTCTAGGATACTGCTATTGTTCATCCAGTTCCCATTCGGATGACTCCAAGCAAAATCCACATGCAGGAAATGGAACTTAAGAGAACTGGCAGTGGTAAGGATGCTGCTGCAGGCTTGTATTTTAGATTAGCACCAAACTAAAATACACAAGTAATTATTCTGTCAGGGTTCACATTTCTTTTCTAAATGCTTATTTTTTAACACAGTATTTTCCACAAGTATGCATATATATATATATGTGTGCTTGTATATCTATTTTAATGTTATAGTTTTAAAAAGGAAATTATTGAATTTATAAAGTTTTAAAATAAGGACATTTGGAAACTGACTTTTCTAATATCATGTGGGTTTTTATGATCACTGTGAATTTACTTTCAACTGAAGAGATGTAAGTTACAATAAATTTTGGCTTCAAAATTGTATGTTCTGCTTGAACTTCTGAAGCTTCTCCTCATTTGGATTACACATTTTAGTTAGGGTTTCTCAGAGGTAGATTTATTTTCCGTGTAAGTCAATTATCATAAATTACTTATTTTATAGCCACTTCTCTGGTGTTTTTGTTTAACTAATTGCCCTATAGGGATGAAATTAACAAAGTGTGAACATGCAAATTCACTTTTTCAGTATAGAGTATCTTCTGTTGTAGCAGAAAACAAAATTCTCTACCAATAGGTTTTTATTTGTTTTTATTAAAAATACTATTTTGTCTTATATCCCCTGGATTTACCTGCTGCTACTTTGAATACCTAAATAAAGTCTTGTACTCCGCAGTTCATAAATTTATTAGTTCAAACACTTGTACTTTGTATTTTTACCTATTCTCTACTAGATCATACTAATCCCACTAGCCCATTACTTGTGAAAACTTCTGACCTTTCAGAAGAAAATAAGATAAATTCATCAGTGAAATTTGCTTCTGGAAATACTGTAGGTAAGTGAAAGATTGCATTACATCTTCCATTTGAAGTTTATTAAGTCTGGATTTAGAGTCTGAGTAACTCAAATGTATAGCTATTTAATATTATCTTCAATGAATAAAGTAGAGATTAGTTGACCTTCTTCAGTACTCTACCCTCTGTATGAATACATGGTTGCCCATTGCCACCTGAATGTGTTCAAGGTATGCCTTCCGTTTTGCCATCCCTTTCAGTTAGCCAGATTTTAATTTTAATGGACTCAATTAGCCAGAGTCCATTGCTCTTTCTCACTAGCTCCTTTCTTTTTCTCTTACGAGAAATTGTATATACTTTCATTCAGCCAGTGTTAATTGAATACTGTTGTCAGGCTCTGTTCTAGACACTGGGGGAATTCAGCAGTGAACAAAACAGAAAAAAAATTTTTTTGCCCTTATGGAGCTTACATCTGTAGGAGAGATAAGAGAAAAAGGAAAAAGAAAGTAACTCGTATCTTAGGAGGTAGTCAATGCTGAGATAAAAATAAAGCTGGAAAAGGGGAGAAGGAGTGATGTTTTAAATAAGATGGTCAAAGACAACCTTACCAAAAGGTGACATTTGAGTTAAAACTTGAAGGAGTTAAAACTTGAGGAATTTGGTTCCATGAATATCTGAAGGAAGGACATTTAGACAAAGGGAATAACAAATGTGAAACCCTGATTTAGGAAACATGCCTTCTACTGGAAAAAGCAAGCAAATACTGAAATAGAACTAGTTGGTGAATTTGGCAGGCAGAAGTAGCAAGTGGCACAGTACTAATTGGGGGTCAGTGTAAGACTGATGGAATGAGATGAAAAATTATTAGAAGGTTTTGATGGAGAAGTGACAAGGTCTGACCTTCCTTTTTTAAACAGGGTCACTCTAGTTGCTATATTGGTAATGGGCCAGAACAAGGCAAGAGACAAAGCAGGGGAAGACCATTTAGGAAATAGTTATAGTAACACAAGCAGGCGAAGATGGCTTGACCTTGGGCGTCAGTGGTAGAAGTGCAGAGCAGAGGTCAGATTCTGGCTTAAGCTAGGCTGCAGGAAAAGGCTACAAGATTTGCTTACCTATGTGATACAGGATCAAGAGAGAAAGGAGTTAGGAGTGATTCAAGGGATTTTGGCCTGAGCAATTAGGAATTGGGGAAGGCTGTGATAGGAGCAGGTTTGTTGAGGAAAAATAGTAGTTCAGCTTTGGGCATCTTAAGTTTGAGATTCCTATTAGAACATCCAAATGGAAATACGTTAGTTCCAGCACCCTTCTTGTACCAAATAAGTAATTCAGTGATTTGACAAGAAAAAGGAAAGAGATGCATTTGAAATGAAGCTAAACCAAATAATAAGTCCCCTCAATTTATAATTCTTGAAAGTCTGCTGTAGTAGTCCTCCAAATAGAGTTTCTATTTTAAAACTTCTTTATTATTTCATAACCATTACCTGTCTGGTATGCTCTGCTCCTTCACTTTTAGAAAACTGAAAATGATATTTCCTCATTAGTTTTCTTTAAAATATTTCTAATTTTTTCCTTAAAAATGACTTCTTTCATTACCAAAGTGATTCATACTTATTGTAGAAATATAATAAAATAAAATTTAAATTATTCATAGTCTCACTATTCTAATAATGGTCGTGATTAACATTCATTGTCAGCCTTAGTCTGTGTTCTGTGCATGTATTTTTATGTGACATGAAATGGTAACATATGTACTATATTACAATCTTCTATATTTCCTTGCCATTAAATATTAACTTTTCTAGATTGTAACATGTTCTGTGTATGTAGTAATTTGCTGTATAAATATGCCACAATTTATTGATTTATATATTAAATTTTACAGTTAATAACACTAGGATGAATTGTTAACCTGTTAGCCAGTCCTTGAATACCTCTGATTTGAAATAGTAATTCAGTTATTATTTGTTTGGGGTACATAGGGTAAAAAGTAAAGAAATGGTTATTATTAAATAGACTATATCCCTTTAATCAGCAGATGGTTACAGTAGTTCAGACTCTTTTACTTCGGACCCAGAACAGATTGGGAACAATGTAACTCATCAAAGGTCAGTATTTCTGTCAATAAAAAGTTCATTAAAACATCTCATTACATTTTAATATTTAGAATTACTTAGAACCAAGTATAAATTATTCTTTTCTATTCAGTTCTTTGGTTCTCTGAAGGCTGTTGGGTTACTTAATGATTTATATAAAGGAAATAATTTTAATTTTTTCCAGCTTTAACAGGAAAACAAAAGGAACCCTTATTATCTTCATGGTATCCTATGCAAGAAGGTTCACAAAGAGCTGATAACTTCTTGTTAGTAGTAGTACCTACAGTCCTTTTAGTAGGTAAACATTGAAAGTCTGTTTCTGTAATAAATGTGCAGATTTCTGTTATAGCCTTATGGCAAGAAGCAAAAGAATTCTGTTTTAACACTCCATCTAGAACTACAGCTTAGTGTTGGCTGCCTCCTCACCCTGAAGATCTGCATTATGTAGAACTTTACAGGCACAAACAAAAAAGGAGTGGGAGAGGGTGAGGATGGCAAGGGATTTGTCTGCAAGGGCTTTATCATCCACTGAAAACTGTGTGCAAGACAGAAGCATCTTTTTTCCCTTGCTTTTTATATGTGGTGAGTAACGTTTTGCCACATGCCTAGAAAGATATAAAAAGAGACTAGTAATATAGAGTCTCTAAAAAACTTAAAGAGTCAAAGGGCTGCTACTTCATGTAGTAGTTCTTGTGTTACTTAGAGGTCTCAGTCATCTTAGGTCTTATTCTACATTTTATCCCTTTAAGTGAGGGTCAGACTGCCAAAGTCCATGAGACTCTTTACAGAATTTAGAAGACATTGGTGGCAAATAAGTAAATCTCTAGGGCTAGTGGAGCAAAGGTATGTTGCCTCTAAAATAAGATGGCCTTTGTTGACACAGGAATCGGACCTCAAATAGTTGAGCCACATTCTCCCTCAATTTACCAAACATCAAACTTGAAATAAGTTAAAAGTTACCCATATCTGGGGAAATGACAGTCTCTTCAACAGATGGTGCTGGCAGGACTGGACAGCTACATGTAAGAGAATGAAACTGGATC